AAATGAGCATATCTCTCAATGGTTCATCTGCAGAGGCTTGCTCATCGACCACGCACTCAATTGCTCGATTTTCACAGTCTGCGTCCCATTATTGAACGCGTACAAATGTGCATTATCATACAACGCCACAATCGGATATACTCTCGACGTAATGACGGTTTTGCCCCCGGCACCGAAACTCTCCACAACAGAATGATCAATCTGCATGATGGGAGCAAGTAAGTGAATGGACAAATATAATTAATAGATAAGAAATAGTGAAAGAACTTTATGTATGAGTAAATACCAAGCTCCTGAGAGAAAGCTTCTTGTCTTTCAAGTCAACATTAACAAACCCTGCAAATGAAGGCCGATATGCCGGTTTACCATCCTTCATGTACGTCTTGCCATCCATTAGAGTCGACCTGTTGAACAATTGTATATATAAAGAAAAACAAAAACAATTGAATAATTGAAAATTAATTAAAAGGTTTAACGAAAGATGAGACAAGAACACGCCTTGATGCATCCGAGCACAAAAGAACAAGATACTTCTTGTGTTGATCCTTGAATACTCTAAAGAAAACAGGGGTATATTCGTCCAGGTTTCTCGAGGCTAACGTGAGTAGCCCAAACGGGCCCAATCCACCTCGCACGGTCGAGCCCATTTGGCTACACAGCTTTTGCCCATCATATCTATCCCACTTTGGATCAAACGGCTCAGCCTTGTCCAAGCTATCGAACGAGAATGTGACGTTCACATCAGCCTGCCAAGCACACCACACGAACACGATAAAATTCATGATCGATCGATCGATCTGTTTAATTAAATAAGCATGGTCTAGATATTTTTTTTTTATTTATTTTAAATTACTTGTGCAGCTGTAATTCCTTTGACTTCCAACTTTTCACCCTTTTCGAGTCTACAATTGCTCAATTCAACCTTGTTCCTTCTAAGAGTTTCAATTTCCTCAACAGGCCATTGCAACAATTGGTCGCCACTTGGGTCGAGCACAATCGTACGCGGTATAAGCTGAAAAGTAAATCAAAATAAATAAATTAATCGTAAACACAATTAATTAATTGTATGATAGATAGACAGATAGATACCTGAAGGCAAAAATTCAACTTTGGTCTGTTTGCAATTTGTAATTTGTATCCCGGAAATTGTTCAACATAATATATACTGTTTTTTATGAGTAACGTCCCAAAAATAATACAAATTGCAACATAACTTACTATTTTCTATAAAGAGTAATTTAGTATACCAAAAATAGACTTTAGACAAGTAAAAGGACCAAATTTGAAATTATTCCGATACCTGAAATAATATAAATTGCAACATAACTTACTATTCTCTATAAAGAGTAAGTTAGTGTACCAAAAATGGACTTTAGACGAGTAAAAGGACCAAATTTGAAACCTGAATACCAGCCCATCCTTTGTTAACATCATTGTCAGTAGAATCCGACTCATTCGCCCAACCCCACAAAATCCTCCTATTCTTCCTCGGGTCGAAAAACGACTTGGAAGCATAAAAATTCCCGTAATCAAATCTCAACCCATTCCACCCGTCCACCATACCTTCATCCGGAACATACCTATCCTTCTCAACATCATACGTACCAATAGTGTAGTATTCATATCTAGTCTCGTCCAGGCTCACTTTAAACACGTGCTTCAATTTGGAGACAGAGAAAAAATCGGGACACTCCCAATTCCCCGTGCCAGCTGTCGAGTGCAACGGGTGCTTGGCCTTTGTCCACGTCATAAAGTCCCGACTCCTGTACAAAAGCGCGAGGCCTCTGTGCTTTCTCCTGCTGCCAATCGCGATTCTCCAGTGCCCGTCCGGGCCGGGCCAGGCTGTTGTCGGGTCACGGAAAGAGGTCGAGTTTGTGAACGGGTCGGGGAATATGAGCGGGTTGTTATTGGGCTTGATCCAATCGCGAAGGTACGGGTCGGAAAGGTTTGCGGGGATGGCGTAGTTTTGGACTTGGGTGTTGTTTTGGTCTACGATGCCGGTGTAGAGGATTATGGGCCGGTTTCCGGGTAGGATCGTGGCCGACCCGGACCAGCACCCGTATTTGTCAAAAGGTTTGGAAGGGGAGATTGCGTGTGGGACTTTTTTCCAGTTGATTAGGTCTTTTGAGACCGAGTGGGCCCACACGATGTTTCCCCAAACGGCGCCCTTTGGGTTGTATTGGAAGAATAAGTGGTAGATTCCTTTGTAATACATAGGTCCTGTGCTTTGCCAAACAAAACAAAACAAATTAAATTCGTATTTATGGAATTGAATTTGTTAAAGTATATAAAAAAATCAAAAAGGTGTTACTTACCATTTGGATCTGATTTTTTTGGTTCATTGTGTTATCCATCAATCCCAGGAAGGGTACATGAAAAAACATCACATCAGCACGGTAAAGCCGAATTTACACAAAAATATTACTCTCAAACTATTCAATTAGCCATGCAAATTTACAGAACAAAATATCTCACGCCTAATATAGAGAACGTACCATTAATCCAATGTTTGGTGGGCTGGAAATGATATCTTGTTCGATGGACTTTCCTCACATTTACGGCGGGCACAGATTGTAACTCGGGAAAAACATCGTGAAATCCACTTACGTTATTGAGCAATGCGAAACAACATACCAACAACAAAAACCTAATGCTTGAAAACTCCATCTATATGTATATGGAGGTTTTTTGTGTTTTTCGTAAATATGCAGCACAGTAGATAACAATAACAATAATAAATATTTTGTTCAAGTGATGAAAATCTAGGGTAAAAAAATGGGTTATTTATAGGCTCAAAAATGGGCTTTTAGAAATTTAGGATAGTGTGGGTTCATTGGAGGTAAGTCGTTAGATATTCACTATATATATTTATTAGTTTTTAGATATACCGAAGTTGTAGTATTAACTATGTGTACATTACTATTTACTGCAGTGTAGATAATCATGAATGTTTAATAAATGGATAAATAATGATTGGATGGAAAAATAGTTAATTAATGGGGTTTATTAAACAGTTACGCATACTTAAATGGATAAGAGCGGGATTGGATAATTAAACCTGCGATCTCTA